ATCGATTGATGATGAGAATGAGTTTAAGAATGAAAGTTGCACAAAAGCATGATATGGAATATTATCATAAATACCACCAGTATCTGAAAATCTTAATGAATCTATATGATATTCATGAAAATTATGGCAAAGTTATTTGTTGATAAACGGATTTGATCAACTTTTTTATATTTATATTTATTAGATTAATGGTGTGATGAGACGATTATAATGAACAACTGAGAATTATCTAGGAGAATATCAAGTCGGTATTTCGCGGACTTGAGGTCGGTTTTTCTTGTACAATAATACTAAAATTGGCAATAGCCGAGATGATTAATGCTGAATTTATGTGTCGGAAAAAAGATCCTCGTATTGCCTTTATTGCTGCTATTTATAGTAACTGGGGGCTCATCTTTTGAGGAGATTCGGCGGCATTTAATGAGGAATGACGTCTGCGCAGCTTTTTCTGTCTGTGGGACCCCCTCGCGCAATGATGTCTCCACATGGGCTCTGAACAGTTGATGGTACCCGCATTAAATGCTGCTTGTCCGCTCCGACGTCGGCCTGCACCCGAGGTTGCCTCGTGTAGGAGGTCGGCTTCCAGACAAGGTCGGCTTCCTAAATGAGGTCGGCCACCACAGGTCGGGCAACGTTTTCTCGGCACTTTTGGGCGTACCCCCTTCGCTTTCTCGCCGTCCACGTGTCAGTCATCCCACGCTAAAGCAGATTTTTAGGTCAACATTATTATGGTGAATATATGGAATACGCGTTGTACTCTTTTTCCCTTGGCTAAGGTTTTGTCCCATTGGGTTTTCCTAGCAAGGTTTTTAATGAGACAACAGGGATGGCGTATTCACATGAATAGTGTACTCTTTTTCCTTCATTAGAATTTTGTCCCACTGGGTTTTTCCTAATAAGGTTTTAACGAGGCACATTCATGGTATAATGAGGACTACTGATAATTGATATGATTCCTCATGATGATGAGAAAAGACTGGAGTAGCTGTACTATTTTTCCTTCGATCAAGTTTTTTTTCCCACTGGGTTTTGACAAGGTTTTAACGAGGCAGCACGTGGATACTCCATTAAAGATGATCTATTTGAGGTGAATCAATGTTATGATACCACAATGCTCAGGTTTTGTCCCACAGGGTTTTCCTGAGGAAGCAATGTTATGATTTCAAGATGATCAGGTTTTGTCCCACCGGGTTTTACTGACATGCTGAAGCAACGGTACCTGATGGCCACAAGATATACGTGAAGATATGCAAATTGGACTTTGTTCTAATGAGTTACAATATGTTTAGAAATAGTCATTCAAGGGGTAGTGTTGTGAAATATTTATTATAAAATAATTTATGTGAATGACTATTTTGTCCCTGATGTAATTGTATTATTACGGTTGTGCCATCAGAAGTTTCCTATAAATAGGAGCTTCAGTTATAATGAAAATTGTACCTAAGAGAAACATTTTCTCTATTCTCTCTCTTTCTCTCTAGTTTTATAACAATTTTGTCCTTGTTTTGATTTTTGAACTAGGAATTGTACAACTATGGAGCCAGAAAAGTAGTGGTTTTTGGGCTGGGCTTGCTAGGCAGTACACCTGGAATGTTGGCTAGAAGCCCAAATTTTAATGGGTCATCTTGCAGATACTCCAACATTTCAAAAGTTGTAGAGCCCTTAATAATGAGAAAATTACCTGCTAGACGAACTCCTAGAAAATTTCTTCTTTATTTACGATAAGGAAAACTTAATACCAAATTTGAGTTTTTGTTTACCATAAAATGAGACAAACGTTCTTTAAACTGACGCACTTGTGCAGCTCTTTCATATGGCGTCTCTGCAACTCCACTTTCCTCATATTTGCCTTCTCCATACTCTCCACCGTCTCCCAGCAACCGTCGCCGCCGTCTGCTCCTCAGTCCATCATCCACGCCGCCGAGACCCTGGCCAGCGTCGGGTACTCCTCTATGTCCCTCACCCTCTAGCTCATCCGCCGGACTCTGATTTCTCCACTTCCGGTCAGTCGTCTCTCGTCCACCTCCTCCTTCACTGCTCCAACCTCTCTCTCCCGGTCATCCCTCCTCTCCCTGCCCTTCACCTCCATAGTCCCGTCTCTCTCCCCCGCCATCCACCTCGTCGTGACCTTTGGCCAGCCCGAACAAATATCCATCAACAACGTCGGAGTCTCTGATACCCCAATTTTCAACGACGGATTAGTATTTGTCTACGCAGTTGACGATGTCTTCAAGCTGAATTTCACCATAGCGGACGCAAATCCGGCCAACCTGAACCCTAGATCCGATTTCCAGTGCCTGAAGCTGGAATCATCCTCTAGATTTGGGGACGCATCTGGAGTTCTGAAATCGAGAGGCTACTCGTTATTTTCCTTCAATGGACTGATCACCGATAGCTTGTTATCATCTTAGGTAAACTTTATCTTGTCAATTGTTTCCAATTTTTGTACTATTTTTTTTCAAGAAATTAAGTGTTCATGGAATCTGCTGGTAGAATTTTGTAATTGTAGAGTTACTTATATTACTTTTTATTTTATGTAAATTGTTTTGCAGCTTTTTGCTCAATTTTCCCTCAGTTTAGTTGGTTATTTTTTTATAATGTGTTATGTAGTTTGTTGAGATATTTGTGTGCTATGTGCTCTGTGTTGTTCAATAATTGATTAATTCTGTGATCTTTTAATCTATCGAACTGCAGCTCAATTGGCGGCGGATGGAAAAAGTGACCGCTGCAAATTGTGAGGAACTGGTAGAGAACTGACTGGCTTGAATATTTTGTAGAAAAATTATTTGAAAACAGCTTTTTCATATTTAGTTATGTTTATTTGAGTTGATTTTAGTTATTGATTGTATTTTTTTTTTGTTTATCTATGGTTTATATTTAGTTTATTTTTTGCTTTTTTTTTGTCCTATTCAATTTCTTATGATTTATTAAAAAAATAGATAATATACTTAAGATATACTTAATATTAACTAGTTTTTTATGATTTATTAAAAAAATAGATTTTTGAGTGTTAATTATGATTTCATTACGTGTGTTAATTTTTTGAAAAAAAATTATAGTTTTAGTGTTAATTTGTTGTTTATCTCTGATTTCTTGAATCTGGGAGCTTGAATAATGATTTATTTTTTGCTTTTGAGTGTTAATTGATGTTTATCTATGATTTATAATATTTATCACTAGTTTGTATTCTGAAAATCATACATATATAAATCTACATTTTGTGTGTATTAAGCTATTAATTTTAAAATTATAATAAACTAAAAATAAACTCCATATATTTTTTTTTCTTGTATAATAAACTGATTTTTTAGTATAATAAACTGAAAATAAACTATTTATAAATTTATCGTCTGTATTCTTGTAATGATTTATAAACCTACAATAAATTTAAAATACTCTAGATATAAATTTTGGTAAGAAAACTGGTTCATAAACTCAATAAATAAAATACTCTAGATATAAATTTTGGTAAGAAAACTGGTTCATAAACTAAAGATAAAATTATAATAAACTATATTTAAATTTAAATTTGGATGTTAACAATTTAGTGCACTTAGAATATGAGTTAATTACATGAGTTGGAACAATTTAGTGCACTTAGAATATGAGTTAATTACATGAGTTGGTCATTAAAACAAGTGTGATGAGATATTGTTGGGGTTATTAACCGCGAGTGATGACGTTGGAATTAATTAAGTTTTAAAATATAAAGCTGGTAATAACTTTTCACTCTCGTAAATGGGGTAAAAAAGAATCGTCGTCATCGTGTACTTTAGCCTTTAATAATAATAGATTGAAACCACTTGTGGACACACTCAATTATCACAACTTACTGGAGGCCCATTTTATATTCATAAATACCACCAGCATTTCACTTGTGGACACTTCACCCTCGGTAAGCTAATGATAATTTTAAATTTCAATTAGACTTAATCGTTATACACTAATACTTTTGAAATTTGCTACCTTATAAAATAAAATCATGGTATTTATTTCACAATATAAGTACATATATTTTTCGAGAAGTATGATGGGTCAACCCGGTTATTGTGTAATCCGTAAATAATATTTACAGGTATAGAAGTTACGACCGAGCCATGTTGTGTGGTATCCGAAACGATGTATTATGTGCAGCGGACGAAATTCCGTGTAGTAATAGAAATGAGTACACATTTTGGGACAATTACCATCCATCCGAAGTTTTCACTCGGGCGGCGATTGCTAGGGCATATGAGGTGGCCTCACCGAACGATGCTTACCCATTTGATATTCGTTGTTTAGCTCAACTATAATACATATAGAAGAATATGCATAAGGAAAACCTGACTTTTAAAATTCTATCTTCTTTAAATTGTGTTGTATGGAAAATAACATATGGTAGATTTAGGTTCTTAGTTCTTGCTAGCATTGAAATATATATGTGCAAAAAAGTTATGTTTTCTTCGAAACAGATTAGGGTTTGAATATCGGCGATGAAATGTTGAAACGATTTTATCGGATTCAAGTGATTCAACACTAATTTCTCGCTAGAAAAACTACTTCCAAAGAAGCACACGACACATAAGTTGACCGTTATCTAAGTTACGTGACTCATGTCGTTTTAACACTGATACCGACTTAATATACGCATGAAAGAACAAAAAATGACAAGCATATGAAACAATATTTCGAGAAAGTATGAGAATAACCGATACAATAGGCTAAGGTTATCTTAGACCAGTTCATAGTTAAGGTGCTCATGTTTCAACACATTAATGTAACAAAAGACTCCCAAAGATAACATATATAAAATACAACATATCAGGCTGTTTGCTCCAGACAATCTTCCTCTTTGACATTCAGTACTTTCGCTCTCGACTCGAGCTTTCTTCATCTACACATTAAGACAAAACAAAGGAGGCAACTTTTTAAACACAAAATGCTCTGCTTTCGGAATCAGTATAAATTATATAAAATGTTTTCCAAACGTGTCTAAATCACAAAATATTATATTAACCACCATGAAATGAAATGCAAATACACCTTAAATTTACCGGTACTCTTACACTAGACGAAGAGGTGTGACTTGTTCTTGTAGCCCGTTGACCTGAAGATAGCCTCGAGGATCGAAAGATTGAGGCTGAGAAAGCTCAAAACCCGAGCTAGACGGCATCAAATTCATGTGCTGATGAGCACTCTCAGTTTCAGCTACCTAATAATTATAAGTTGCCAAAAAAGTCGAAATTCAATTTACATTGCCACCAATGAACTTAGAAAATCGTTTATAATGAGAGAGAGAGAGAGAGAGAGAGATAGAGAGAGAGAGAGAGAGAGAGAGACCTTGGCACGAAGATACTGATTATTTTGATGTAAGTCAATCTCCTGCTGCCGGGTTTTTTTGTTTTTCGTTTTTTCCGCATGAGGTGAAAAATACAGTCAGATATAGGCAGAGTGTATACATAAAACAATGCGAATAATTCCTTAATTTGGAGTTGAAGAAGAAAAAACATGTACAAAGTTAATAATAGCACAAAAATTCGTCGCAAGTTGGTATTTTCGGACAATAAAAGTCGAAAAATCTAAACTCATTAGAAGGTCTTACCATAGCTTTTGTGTGTTTCTTATAGAAATGTGTAGTTATCTCTCTTTATATGATCTACTACCTCCATTTTTACTTACTAATCCAG